AATAAAGAAATAACAAATAAAAGGGAAAAACTAAAAAAGGTTTTAAAAAATAATAAATAAAACAAAAAAATATTAAAATGATATAAAATAATAGTAAAAATGAAATTAAAACAATAAAAAAACATACTAAATTAAAAAAAATAACAGAAGGTTAAAGGGATGAAACAACATTTTAAACAATCAAAACAAAGAAAACATTAAACAATTCATGTACTATAAGTGCAAATAACCCAAAGATAATATAGGATTCAAAATGAAATGAAAAAATAAAGGAGTATATAAAATAAAACGATTGTGGAATCAATGAAATATTTAACCCAAATATTAAAACATATTCATGGTGACTAAAATATAAAAATAAAAACATAAAAGGCTCAAACACATAATATTCCATTCATTTGAACTGAAGTAACAGATTACAAACCTAGAGGGACCAAAAGGGATATTATCCCCTTAAAGGTTTGAAAACAGGGTGTGGGGGTTAAAACATAGTTTCGTTCTAATATAGATAATGTTTCAAAGCCAAGCCGATCGCCGCTCTTAACCCCGTAAACACGAATCTGAAGCCTGATCGTCCAAAAAACACTCCTATCGAAGTAGATCTAAAAAAACCCTCGGGTCCTTACTTTTTTCGTGACTTTTTGACTTCCGGTGGATTTTCCCTTTCGAACCGGGACAACACCGCGTTTAGTCCTTGCGTTGGTTGTTTTTTGGTATTCGTTCTGTTTTTTGTGTTGTGATGGGTTCGATTGTCGATGTTTTTCTGACTGTTCGATGTTGTGGTTTTGTGTTTTGTTGGTTGGTTTTGTGTTTCGATGTTCCCGTTGTGTCGATCGATGTTCTCCCCCCGATTGCTTGGCCTCATCGGGCTTTAGCACCGATTTTGGCCATTTTGAGCCCGAAATAAGAGGAGTCGTGGCCGTTGTGAGACTGATTATCCAGGGATGGGTCAGTCTCGAGATATCGACCGACCGTTTCGTGCTTGGCTCTGTTGGCTATTTGGGTGTGTGGCCGCCACGAGCGTTGCTTGTGCGGCGTCTGACTAAGTGTGTTACCCTAATTCATTTGGGTCGAACCGGGTCTGTTGGGTTAGGCTATCCGGTTGGACTTGTTGGACTTAGACCTTGCTGGACCTGGAAAAGAAGAAAAAAACAAAAGAATAAAATCGAATAAAAATAAAAAATATATATATATATATATTCTAAAATATTTTCAAAATTTCAAAAACATTTTCAAACTATATATTATATATATTTAAAAATGTTTTTCAAAAAACTATATATTATATACTTTTTAAAAATATTTTTAAAAATTATATATTATATATATGTTTTCAAAATGTTTTAAAAAATATTTTTATATATATATATATATATATATATATATATATATATATGTGTTTTCAAAATGTTTTAAAAACTATATATTATATAAGTTTAAAAAATGTTTTTTTAAAAACTATATATTATATAAGTTTTTATTCAAAATGATTTCAAAACTATATATTATATAAGTTTTCAAAAATTATATATTATATATATTTTCAAAATGTTTTCAAAAACTATATAATATATACATTTTCAAAAATCGTTTAAAACTATGTAATATATATATTTCAAAAATCATTTGCAAACTCTAATATATATATATATATATATATATAAGTAAAATAATAAAAAAATCTGGACGAAAATTAGTGTCTACAGCTGCCCCTATTTGTCCTTTTTCGTGGAACGAAACATAGGGCAAAGATAAAATGACACAAATTTTCGTTCGGTATGAAGGGGTCCCTGAGTCTAATTAAGTCCTATATTGCAATTAGGAATAACTCCCTGTCAAATTGAGTAGCGAATGACTCCTCGTCGCGAAGTAGAGTCCGTCTTGAAACGATTTAAAATTGAAGCTGTAGTTCAGAATTTGAATCGGAATGTGGCTTCTCGTTGCCAAATTGTAGCCAATTTCGGTCTTCTTCACGGTTTAAAGACCTTTGTTTGAAAATTTGATTGAAAAGTAGTTCCTTGATTCCACCATGTGGTTGATGTGTCATCAAGCTGAATGGAATCAAACTCGAAAGTTTTTATTGACAGGTAATCTCGCCTTGAGTTATGTTGTACTGAACTTGAGGGATTGCCCCAGATATTCTTCTTGACTTAAAGACCTCGGCTTCAACCAGAAAGTAGTTTCTCGATGCTACCATGTGGTTTATGTGTCATCGTGCTGAATGGAATCGAACTCGATAGTTTTTGTTGACAGATACCTTTTCTCGATTTAGCTATGCTGTAATTTGACAGCCCTTAAGCTGAATGGAATCGAACTCGAAGGTCTTCGTTGACAGATAGCCCTTCTCGCCTTGAGCTATCCTGTAAATTGATGTGCCTTTGAGCTGAATAATCGAACTCGAAGGTCTAGATTGATAGATAGCCCTTCTCGCCTTGAGCTATGCTGTAAATTTGATATGGCCTTTTAGCTGAATGTAATCGAACTCGAAGGTCTTGCTGACAGATAACCCTTCTCGCCTTGAGTTATGCTGTAAATTGATATGTCTTTGAGCTGAATGTAATCGAACTCGAAGGTCTTTGTTGACAGATAGACCTTCTCGCCTTGAGCTATGCTGTAATAGGCTTGGGAGATAACCCCTATTGTTGCAAATGACTCATTTGTTGTGAAACTAAGTCAATCCACTAGGGCACGATACCTTCGTCGTGAAGTTGAAATCGTGGATGACTCCTTCACTGTGAATTGAGTGTTGAATTGGATATCCTTTTGTGAAGTTGAAATCCAATCTTGTAAAAGTTGTGTTGTTTTGAGTCCAATATCCTTCGCTGTGAAGTTGAAATTGACTGAATGAAATTGAAAAGTTGTTTGTTAATAGACAACTTTTCTCGACTTTAGTTGTGCGGTCAATTTCCTCTAAATGAATGATGGCCCCCCTTCATGGGCCCAAGATGATTGTAAATCTTTAGATGACTCCCCTTCACGGGAAGCCCAGTGATAAATGTTGTCAGCCAGATATCATCTGTCGTGGATTGAAATTTGGCTGAAAATGTTAACTGAAAACTGGCCACTCGTTGTGGAGTTAAGCTGAACTGAATCCGTTCTGAATTGGTTCCCAAACCCGTCTGAATTTGATTTAAGATCTGTCGGTCTTTCAACAGGTCAATTGGTTGAGATGTAGCTCCTCGCTGCTGAGTTAAGCAACCACCATCAATTTCTGAATGTGCTTTGAATCGAGTATTTTTCTTCTTGAAGTTGAAACTGACTCTAAAAGCTGCAAAAAATTATGTATGCAAAAAATGATAAATGTGATGCTCTTAAGTATGTCTAAGATGCATGCAATATGAATTAGTTTTGTTTATCTCTTGGATGGAGTCTCGTGGTTTGTCTGTCGATCTGGTCCTTGGAATCGATCATGTCTCATTTCTTCTTGGTTGCAGCCTTTCACATTTAAGATTGTCCTGTTTGAAATGTTTATCCTCAAAATGTTTTAAAAATATATTATATATATGTTTTCAAATGTTTTTTTAAAAACTATATATATACATTTTCAAAAATCGTTTAAAACTATATATCATATATATTATAATATATATATATATATAATAAAAAAGTAAAAAAAATCCAGATGAAAATGAGTTTTCTACACTATCTAATGAAGATATGCATGTGTTCCACAGTATAGTATATTGACAGCTGAAATGACATTTAATCCTCATGAGGGGGAATTTCGCTCTCCAGTGCCCTTTGGTATTATAACGGTTTCTGAGTAAACTCGAGATATCTAACTGCAAATATGGAACAGGTGCAAATAGATATTTCACTCTATGTTCCACTGAATTTCTGGCATTGGTGGCGGCCATTTTGCACTCTATGGATAGTGATCTGTGAGATATCTGTCCCTCTCTGGATCTTTTTTTATAAATAAAAATATCGACTTCGTCCCTCTCCCCCATTTTCCGTTTTCTTTGTCCATTCTTTTAAATAGAATTATTGCATTAATCACACCAAATTTTTAAATGAAACACTGCTTTCAACATGTCCAAAATTTTATGTAAGCTTGAATGGATCTAGCTCATTCTCGGAAACCTACGGAAACCCCTGTCTTGCATTCTCCAAAGATTTTGAAGTGGAGATTGAGGTATGCACGATGCCCTACCATCTCTCTCTCATTTTCCTTCAACAACCATATCACTGTTCTATTTGCTTCATGAATTCGTATTTGCTTTGTTTGTAATATGATCATGAAGATGCATCTTACAGTACAAGTTTCAATGATTTATCCTTAAATCACAGTGTGGGCTTTGTATATGGATCAAATATGAGGAAATACTTGCTTTAAGTAGAACGGAGATGCCTGGAATTTGCCGATGGTAAAACCCCTTCGAGAGAAAGAGGTTATTTATTTCTTCCTGCGATCATCGACTATCAGATGGTTTGATGATTTGTTACAATAACCTTTTCCCGTTTGTTGGCATATCCAGCAGGAGTTTATTAAAAGCTGAAAAACGGAAGACTGGCCCCTTGAATCTTGGAGAGCTTTTAACCTTGTTGGTGTAATTAGTCTCACAGGGCTCATAAACATAATCTCACAATACCTGGGCCTGGCTATATCATCACACGTTAAGTAAGCAGACTGACAAACAGTGTACTTAGTGTCATGTTCATATTAATTTTTTTCGTCTTTAAGGTGTTATATATTATATAAATTTTAACATATTAATAAATTTGTTATATAGATTGTGGCACATTCTTCTATTAATGGTGTTCACATTATTTTATTTTGCCTTGTCCTTCTTTAAATATTTTTTATCATGTCAGTCAATTGTGCCATATTCAGAATTGTAAGGTTTCCAAGCAGCATCCCACTATCCCAGTTCGTGACGTGTTCTACATACTACAAAATAAAATAATATAACCAGAGAAACAGAAAATACACGGAAAAAACAGTGAGGTGAAGTGGTGAACAGAGGTATACCTTAGGGAAAAACTTCTCGAAGATAGTCAATAGTATCCTCCTTTGTGGTTGGGGTATTCTCTGGGTAGATAAAGCTCGCATTCATCAACATTGCATCAGTGACCTGTCAAGTTAGTAAAACAAAATGTTCTTACTACACTGCCAAATTGAAAATGTCTCCCACAAGAACCATAGACAATATGCCTACCTGGTTCTCGGCATGGTCCTTCAAACCATCAATCCAACTGTATCCAAACTCATCACTGAATTGCTCTTTCTGCCTGTATAAATGTGCTGAAACAGAGGGAATAAGAAGTTTCAATCTTCCAGGAAGTTTTCCATAACAAATCATATTGAAACATTAATACACAGAAGAAAAATGATCAAAGAAACGAGGACCAGATAAAATGATAATACCCAGTAAATTTTCTAAATTGCAGGAATATTTCAAAGAAGATACACCAACCTTAGGCAGATATGGCTTCTGATCATCGTCAAATGCATTACGTAAGACCCACTTCTCAATCCTCCCAAGATCTGGCCTTATCTGCAACAAAGTTGAATGACACTAACCATTAGTGTACATTCCTTTATAGAAAAAGGGGTCAAAGTATGTAACTAAATTCTAAAACTCTTCCTTTAACCAGCATGAGATAGTAACTACTAGTGGTCAAGTAACTGACACCACATATCATTTGCATCAGCTCATTATCGAAAAAAAGAACCTAGAAAACTGACAGCGCCCCTGCAATGTGAAATGTTATCCCCGCAAATGGACAGGTAAAACCAGAAATGATAACAAGCAGGGAAAAATGTTTGTCTAGCTTATTCCAGTATGGATGGACATGGCATGCCTCTTCTCAACATTAAAGTAATGATCCAACATAATGACAAATCTAGAAACACCGTACCATTTTCCACTCAGGATCTATACTCATTGCAACGTTGATGAACTCTTTATCTAAAAAGGGTACACGAGCTTCAAGTCCCCATGCCGAAGTTGACTTGTTTGCTCTCAAGCAATCATAAAGATGAAGAGCTTTGATCTGTTGAATTATTAGAATACCATCATCAAAACGTGAACAATATATAATAGATAATCAAGTGATCATGCCTAATATGATAACCCCAAAACATAAAATCCAGGAAAAGAAAGTAATGGTCATCCGGAATACCTTTCGACATGTTTCTTCATGAAACTCTTCTTTGTTAGGAGCTTTATGGAAATACAAGTAGCCTCCGAAGATTTCATCGGAACCCCCCCTGAAAGAACCATTTTCACTCCTAAAGATTTGATTTTTCTTGACATAAGAAACATGGGGGTGCTGGCTCTGATGGTCGTCACATCATATGTTTCAATGTGGTATATAACTTCCTCTAAAGCATCTATCCCTTCCTGATAGATCAAAATGGGAGAAGAATAACATAAAAAATTGGAAGAACATATTTAGCTATCCTTTTTTAAATCAAGCAGAAAATTACCTGGACTGTGAAATGAAACTCATGGTGACGAGTTCCAATGTAATCTGCTACCTCTCTAGCAGCTTTAAGATCAGGAGACCCCTGAACAGTAAAATGTCAAAATATTATAAATGAAGTGATAAAGCCAAGTTTATTTCAAAACCAATATCAAGAGAGAGTGTTATCTGAAGTTGTGAAATTATCATAACTAGAAAGAGACCGGATCTAGATATTTTGCATAGACTATTTACATAGTACTCGTAGCAGCAGTTCATAATGCAATTGTACAGGCATTCTTCAATTAATAATTTGGTTTATCCATCAGTTACCTAACCCACAATCATAGTGGTCAAGGTAATAGCAAACTGTTAGAATATTAGAGATTACAGTTTGTTAGTAGATTGTAACTGGAATCTATATAAAGAATCAGCCCACTTAGTAAGTATCCCAATAATGAATATAACAAAATGTTCCTAATTTCTTTCTAATTTTCCCTTTCATTTCTGCCATTTTCCTTTCCACCAAAGACATCTTTTGCTTGAATTCTAATACAAACATATCTAATCAACAGGCATGTCTTTTACACAACAAATAATAACCCAGGGAGGCAGGAAACCAGTATAATACGAGGACGTGGAATATATACCTTCAAACCAATGCAGAAGGTATGTAACTGTGAGCCCCACTGGCAAGCAGCCTCTGAATAGCTAGATAACGGGCAGCTACAGCAGCAACAAGTGACGAGTCCAGCCCTCCAGATAAGAGCACTCCAAATGGTACATCTGTCATGAGCCTCTTAAGCACAGCCTATATGAAATAAATTCACAAGGAAAAGCTAGTGGTGAAACGTAAATGGCATAGCACGAAAGTAATATAGACATTTATTAATTTAAGTATTTAACATGGGAATAATTACAAATTTAAATCCATATAGAGTCTTCAAGTATTCAGATAATTGATCTACCAAAACAATGAAAAGAATCTTAAAATAGTTGTGTTGACAATTTTCTTTGCTTGAGCCTTTCATGACTAAATAGGATGATATAGACAATAGAGACGTGGTCAGAAAGGCAAATAACTTATAGAAAAGGAGAAGAAACATTTGTGGAAAGAGTCATATAGTTAGGGTTAAAGCTTCCAATTCTAGAGTAGAGGTCAAGCTGAAGTCTTAGGTCCTAACATAGGTGGGAGATATCCTAAAAGCAGAGAGTATATTAATAAAACAAGAAAACTGAGAACTCCGTAAACTGAGCTCTGCTGCTGTACTCTTGCAACACAATTTCCTAACAAAAAAGTGATCGAGAAAAGGAACATGGTAATAAAGAAATCCTATAAACTAAGCTGACCTTGCCAATTAGGGGAGTGAGAGCCTGAATCACAAAGACTTAAAGGCTTTAACCCCTCAAAGGCTCTCCTATATTTTTTTCAAAAGTGTTTTACTGCAGAAGCATGGGAGTGCTACACAGTAATGACATGGTGACTACTGGGTCAATAATGCTTACTTCACAAAATAGTTTCAAGTGCTATAATTTTCACCATTTTTTTGGGTAAAAGTTGAGACATAATGACATACAATTCCAAAGTGCTAACAGCAAAAGAATAAAATTAAAAAACAAGAATCGAAGCAAAATGTTTAAAGCATGCCTTCTCAAAAGACTCCCGTAAGACTTTAGGATCATATGGGGTTGATGGTATCTTTTCCGAGAACCATGGGGGGTTATACCATCTTCTAATCACTCCTGCAGACATTTCGAAATGCAACAAATAAAAGGCATAGCATAGAACACCGACAAACAAAGGCAAATTCATAGCTGAACTACTGACAAGAGATGAATATCATATACCATAAAAATTTCAGATTAAGTTGTGTAAACAGTTTTTAAGCCAGTTAGGAATTAATATCTAAAAAAAAAGACCTTGCTTGCTCGAATATATATGCCCTGGAAGGAAAGACATAAATCGTTCACAGTCATCGCTCAAAGCTTTCATCTCAGAAGCAAACCACACAGAACCTGCAAAGTAACTAACCGTTAATTAGAAGTAGCATCCATTACAAGGAGTATAAAAATCAGAATCAGAAATGGAAAAGTATTAATCAAGCAAAAGAAAAAGCCAAGCACAAAATCAATCCATCCACAAAATAAACAAATCTGGCAACTCAAGCTAGTTTATGTATGTTTCTTAAGTCTTTACTATATCTGACATCAAGATATCAAAAGATTTCAAGAAGGCAATGGAAAAGGTTGCTAAGATATTCTTCAGGACATACATTTTCCTATTCTGCAAACTTTTCAGGGGACAAATATCAGGCTTTTCAAAAGGAAAAAAAAAAGTGGTCCTAAGGAGGTGGGACAATCGTCGAACGAAGACCGGGTTCACAAAATGGCCGCCTAACTAACCTAATAATACCTAGTTTTTGCTGTACGTTATACATTTGAATAAAATCAGTTAAAAGAAAATTTACAATAAAATAAATTTGCTCAAATTTTGACAAAAATGAGTAGAGAAAACGAAACTTCTTAAGTCTATAATGCCCTAAAAGTACAATTCAAAAGGTCTAACAGCTGGTGCCTATAAGAAGGAAAACTGCATACCATCAAGGCCCCATCCGATATAAAGTGGGGTAATTCCGATAGCATCTCGAGCTGCAATGAAACTTTTGTCACGAGTGTTAAGAAGAACAAATGAGAACATGCCATCCAGCATGTCCACAAAATCTTCTCCATATTCTTCATACTGGAAAAAAGTAAGTAGCCAAAATTGGTATACAGGATACAATTAAGTAAAATGACACCATGGGATGCAAAAAAAAAAACGCAAGAAAAGAAATGTTCTGAATAACGGACTTTAACATCCAACCTCTCAAGTACTTACAAGATGAGCAATCACTTCACAATCACTTCCAGTTCTAAACTGATGGGACTTCAGGTTTTCTTTCAATTGCTTATGGTTATATATCTCTCCATTAACCTATAATCATCAACCAAACGTGAAAGTAAAATCAAACATTGCATTCTAACTATGGCTCCATCTGATTGTTCTTTTTTGTTGCTACTTATTTTTTTATTTACATTTATTTTCCAAAATTATAATATAAAGCAAAAGCAAGTGCCAGAAAGTAAAACAACAATTGATAATATAAATAAACAAAGAACTAAAATCATATATTAATCTCTATATCAAAATGAAAGACCAATTACAACATAACTTGTGCATTGTGTTTTGAATAATATATAACCTTAACTTTAATTATTGAAAAACATAAACATTTTACGCTAAAAACAAATAGCATATTATAAAACTAAAATAGAAAGATAATTTATTTCCATGATTATTGCACCAACCATTACCGATGTCTGTTCGGAAAAAAGAATAAGAAAGTATACCGTGACAACAACAGTCTTATCCTCGTTATAAAGGGGCTGATCGCCGGAAGCCGGATCTACAATAGCTAAACGCTGATGAGCAAGGTAACAATCTTGATGACAATGTAGTCCACTCCAATCAGGACCTCGATGTCTCAATCTACACTCTCCATTTAAATCAAAATCAACAACGAGTTTCATCTATAGAAAAACCAAAAACGTTAAATCGAAATTCTTAAATCACCTTCGAGACAGTTCGATAATACGAGAGCGTTTAGCTTGAGAGTTGTCAACGCAGCCAAAAACTGCAAGTATTCCACACATGGTTGGCGTTATGGAATGGAAGGCCCGCGGAGGCTGCTGAGGAAGGAATCTGTAGGAAAATGGGAGTGGATTTTGTAATTTAAATATAAAAAGTCCTTTAATCACAGCCGTTGAATTTGACTAGCTTTTTGCTTGGATTCCCTTTCTGCGTACTCATCAAATCCACCGACTGTTAGAGATAAATTCTTTATTAGGGTTTTGAAATTTTGAGCATTTTTTTTTCTTATGGATTGTGGATGGTAGGGTCACTCGATGGTTGGGAATTGGAATCTTGGATCTTTACGGTACAATTATTAGCTACTACGTGGAGTATTATCTATTTGCTGCACTCAGATCATCAGACGAGTGGTTTTTGTAAGTTGCGATGTATTGGAACATAACAACAGCGACTTGGTTCATTTCTTTTCTATTATATTAATTAACGTATTAAACATAGTGCGAGATTCGAATGGAATCTCTTTTCATTTTTTTGGTTTGATGGAAATATATTTTTTAAATAACTGTACAAGATAAAATATACTACTACTTTAAAATCAAATAGTAATTGTTTTCAGGGTAAATTACCTCTAAGGTCACGTAATAATGGATTTGATAATAAACAAATCTCTTTCTTTTAAAAGTTACAAAGATGTTACTTCATCGTTAAAATTAAAATCGATTTCTAATGTGGCATAGTATAATAATAAAAAATTGCTATCCTATGACGATAGGCTCCTTGCACGGGCTGACATTTCTTGTATTAACAACTCAACTCAGCATGTGAAGATTGAAATGTCTGAGTGCCAAACTGAAGGCTCTATGCTTACTTCGTCATATCGTCCGCTACCATTTTCATCGCAAGGTACATGAAGGAACTTCAACCTTCAATCTCGTTCAATAAGCTCGACAATGTGCGGAACCAGATGGGAGATAATCTCCATGTCCTTACCTCGCTCGAGTAAGGACCAAACATCCTTACTATCGGTTTCGACCACAACATCCCTAAGCTCCATATCTCATGCAATATTTAGCCCTTATAACAATTCAATAAATTTTTACTCCCAAAATACATATGTTATATGAATTTATCTTCATTCAAAACAATTCAATAAATTTAATTCCTCATATTAAATTTTTTTTATCAATTTAATCATTTTATACGATATTATCAAATCAAGTAAGTTCATAGATAGGGGTGAAAATGAACTAAGCATTCAAGGAATGGTTTATATATTGTTCATTTATGTTCATTTGTTATATTAAATAAACGAGTATGAAAAAATTATGTTCATTTAAATAATACTATAACACGAATAGGGGTGTTTGGTTCATTTATGTTCACGAACAAGCTCATTTGAAAAGTTCGTTTATTGGCTCATTTATAAGTTCATTTATCAAGTCAATTATAAGCTTGTTTACGTGTTATCCTTCATTTTATTTTTATATTTTAAATTGGTGAAGATAGTGATTAAATTGAACACATATCAAAGTTTATAGTTCAAGTTGTGAAGCCTATGGAGCTTAAGGATTATAGGTATAATTTTTCCATTTTATGAAATATAAACCAACATGTTCACGGTCACTAAACGAACATGTTAGCAGACACTGAACGAATATGTTCACGAACGCTAAATGAATTGAACAAGAATACCTTAAAAACAAACAAACAAACATGAATATGATATTAAATTTTAAACGAACATGATCTTGTTTGTTCAAATTCGATTCATTTACATCTCTATTTATCGGATCAAGTAAGAGTTAGATAACTACCTTATGTTATAAGACAACAATAATTACTGATAAATTATTATTATAAAAAACAAACCCATTGCATCACATAGATTTAAAATTAGTTTAATCCAAAATTGTGAAGCTCACTTTTGGAATCAAAAGTGAGTTTACAGTATTAATTATTGAAGAGTGGAATCAAATTATAAAGATAAGAAATAGGCCTATCGGGTCCCCTTTCTTCTGTGATTGGATTCTCCCAAATTGCTTGCCTTTTCTGTGTTGTGCCTTTCACTCTCATTTTGAGGTCAGACCACCAACTACCCTATTTATTGACCATTCATATTTGTTCTTCAATATTAGTATAAACGAGATACTTTGTGATGGTAAATTATTTAATTATTGTCAAGTTCAAACAATTTGAACTACTAAGTAAATTGATTTGGGTATCTTAACATCTGATTTAAACATTAATCGAACTTGCTATTTATAAATATTTTAACATTGAACTACCATTTTACCTTTAAGATACATGCATTTAAAATCCATACCTAATTTTTTTATATTTATATATTCAGACTCGAATTTAAATGTGTAAATCATACACATGAATTGCAAGTGAGTTCAGTTTCTTCTCTTTCTTGCTTTGTTTGTATTGTGTATGTTGTACTCTGCAGTTGCGATTTCCATTGATTCCTTTTCTCGGTTCTTGCAATAAAAGACAGATTTTTTACTGTTATTAATTTCATCATCATTATCATGACTTCACTTATTCCTTCCCTCCTTATCCTCCTCCTCTCCTCCTTTCTTCAGCATCTTCCCTTCAACCTGCAAATTCCCCTGCTCCGGTTAGCATCCAACTCCCCACACACACACGTTCTCTCTTTTCATGTTTTCATACCTTCCGTTGATTAATTGAGGCATGGGGTTTTGTCAACAGGTTCATCTTTTGAAGAGAAAACAAGGTTGGGATCGATTCCTCCAAGCTGCCACAACAGGTGCAACGGCTGCCACCCTTGCATGGCGGTTCAAGTTCCCACATCGCCCGGCAGCCACGACCGCTTCAAACCAGGAGCAGCAGTCACGAATCCCATGCAGTTTTTTGAACCATCAGGTAACCAATACTCCAATTATAAGCCTCTTGGTTGGAAATGCAGCTGCGGTGATCACTTTTACAACCCTTGAAAAATAAAGCATTGTTAATTGTTTTCAAGCTTCTGTATTATTGTAAATCCTGTTTTTAATCATTTGTCGGTAAGTAGAAAGAAATTGCAGGCATAGCATAATATGATCGATATTTTAGGATTTTATATAGCAAATTTTATTTGTGGGGATTTTCATGGGGGACAGTGGACATCAACTATCCCATCACCACCCATCACTTTCTCCCACACCACTGTCGAATGCCCATCCAATTGACTAGAACGCTGCAAACATGTTAATTCTTTCATTAATGAATGTTTGGTTCTATAAGAAAAAAGCCCTCGGTTTCATTAAAACCAAGAATCAACGTTAGGTTATATGTGTCAGACCATATAAACTGTTTGCTTTTGTTAAAAGTATGAAAAGAAGAAGAAAATTGTGAATGGTCCCCATATTGAATTAAAAGCACTAATGTGTTAGGTGGGGGGGGGGAATCAAAGGGAGTAGTGAAGTCAAAGGAGAAAGGCGAAGCATTACTATGATACTGTTACACAAACATTTGTAGCGGCAGTTGATCCAAAAGTCTTACATTGCTGGTCCCTAATTCTATTTATTGTGATATTACTTTTTTTTTAACTAATTAAAAATTGATTTGAAATCTCTTCTTTGATTTAATAATAAGAAATCATCCGTAGACAATGTAATGTGTCTGTTGGGATCCTTTGTTTAATGTTCACATGCCCCTTGTTAAGTGGAATAAATGTTGTTTTGGTCCCGTTCAATTTATCAATTACGCAAACAATGTTGCTTTTGTTTAGAACTGGGACACCTTTCTTTGCCATTACAAGGGTGCTGTTAGGCTGCGTCCCAGCTGGTATCTTCAGATGGACCATACCATCCACAGTTGGAAGCTTGATTGTTGTTCCCAGTATTGCGTCTATGTAAAACACTTTGCGGGTGTACAATATGTTGACATCGTCTAGTCTCGTCTAAGGACAGGGTCTGGCATAACTTCAATAACAACAAAGATATCATCACCAGGGGGCCCGCTTTTCTTTCCAGTGTTCCCTTCAGACCGGACCCTTAAACGACTACCGGAATCCACACCAGCCGGAACTTTCAAAGTGATCCTCTTTATTCTCTTTACCCGCCTGTCACCGGAACATGTATTGCACGTGGTAGAAACTTCTCCCGTTACACCGCTAGAAGAGCAGGGCATTACCTGCTGGAAGACACCTAACGGAGTCGTTGCAGATGAGATCACGTGGCCTTGCCCGCCACACGTAGTACATTTCGACGCTGTTGTTCCAGGTTTTGCACCAGACCCGTTACATGTTCCACAGCTTTCTAGTCGGGTTATCTCCATCTCCTTATCAACTCCAAAAACTGCTTCCTCAAAATCCTATCTAGTTCACATAATTATCAGTCACTTGTATATGCAAGTACAAAGTTTAGCCATTTTAAATCTCTGAACAAAAGCAAGGAAATCATAAAATTTCATACAAATAGTTGGACACCTAGAAGATACTTCCTTTTGAACAGGAGGAATCGGGGATGGACCAAAGAAGATGGATGGGGCAGCCATCCCTAAAATTTTTAAATTAATATATACATTTAGATATTCTTTTGTATTTTTAATTGATAATCTATTTTCGTTCCTAAAATTTTATATGTTTGCCCCCCTCTTAAAATTGTATATGTTTGCCCCCTCTTAAATTTTTAGAAATTCACCTGAACATGATACCACCACATGCCAACTCATCCTATTCCACCTTGTCTTATATTTCTCTGTAAGACTTGCAAGCACTCATTTTCTTCCCCTTGAAGAGTAAGAAGCCTGATTGTTTTCCCGGAAAACAGAGCGACTATTGGAGGCATGGATAGATGCTCACGAGGCCTGTCCAATGACCCTACTTATCCAGTTCGTGGTGTTATGGATGAATCTACTCTTCATATCCTTTATCATTCTTTTGAAGACGTACTTTTAATTTTAATTAGTATTTTACTTGTTTTATATAATACTTTTCATATAACTATACATATATTAATTTATCAAACTTTTTAAATATTTTAACTTCTTTGAAAATTATTGCAGAAACCAAAATTTTCTACCTCAATCCCTACTTCGGAAGCTTAAAGCCACAACTTTATTTGGGTTTTAAAGTTAATTATCCTGCAAGAATCTTAGATAGCACCATAGTTGGTTACATATAAATGTTCTGGTTGGCTTTTCAGCTAAGCAAACTCCCAACAAAGGTTATTCTCTCTTAAACATAGATATATTGTACCTTATGTTTTTCACATTCGATTCCATGCAAAAGCTTCTAATCTCTTATAATCTCGTCCCTGTAGTTCTAAGATTTTAAGCACTGTGTTTTTGGTCCTATATATCATGTTTATTTAAGATATGATTGCAAAAATTATGAGATGACTATCCAGCTCAGTTGGTAGAGCACAAGGTTCTTAACCTTGAGGTCGTGGGATTGAGTCCCACGGAGGGTATTTCATAATTCGGAGGTCTTTTACGGAAGCTGTTCTCAACTTGGTGTAGGAGGCAATCTACTATCTTACATCCCCTTACCCCATTACATATGGGAACAAGGAATAACCATTTTTATTGCAAAAATGATCGTGATCCTCAAAATTGGATCGAGTAGTTTAATCATTAAAACGAGAATCAATTAATTCGGTGTTTACTTATATAAGCTAACAGGGCTTACAGGGCCATGGTGTTAGAAATGGTAAACAAAATTCTATTTACCATAGCCTTGTAGGATATTTACTTATGAGAAAATAACCTCAGTGACCAAAAATCTTAGATAATATACGATTTTGATTAATATTTTTTGGATTTACGAAAATGACCAACAAAATCGCAATGCGATCTCTAATTCGCATTGCGATCTCCACTATCGCAAATTTCGCGTTGCGATAGTTGAAAACCGCGTTGCGTTTTTTCATTTCGCGTTGCGATAGTCTACAGTTGTCGTTGCGATAGTCTACAGTTGTCGTTGCGATTTTCCAAATTCGTTGTGATAGTTAAAAAAAAGATTTTGTTTCTTAAGAATTTTTTCTAAAAAGATAATATCCGGGCAGACGTGTCGAATACACCCACGACCACGACCCGACCCGACCCGAGACGAGACGGACGGCGGCGGCAGCGGCAGCGCGCGAGAGTCCCCCTTGTTCTCTATCACTCAACAAGGAAGTGGGAAAGCCAAGCCTTAAATACCATTCCCAATAGTGTTTCCAATACTATGTGGGATTGAGCATTACCAACACTTGTTTCCAATACAATGTGATTATTCAGGAAACAATTAACAATCATGAACCTTAAAACAACTGAATCAGCAACCAATTGCATTAGTATTATACGATTAAATATGTCATAATTAAAAGTCAATCTACAATCAATCGCGATTATTGCAATTTTAAGCAAAACATTCAAAAATAATATCACTATTTAAGGCTCAATCCCACATAGTATTGGGAACAAGTGTTAGTAATGCTCAAATCCCACATAGTATTGGAAACACTATTGGGAATGCTATTTAAGGCTTGTCTTTCCCACTTTCTTGTTGAGTGATAGAGAACAAGGGGGACTCTCGCGCGCCGCCGCCGTTCGTCTCGTCTCGGGTCGTGGTCGTGGTAATACGTGTCTTCGACTCGTCCGCTCGGATACTATCTTTTTAGAGAAAATTCTTAAGAAACAAAATCTTTTTTTTTAACTATCACAACGAATTTTTGTAACGAATTTGGAAAATCGCAACGACAATTGTAGACTATCGCAACGACAACTGTAGACTATCGCAACGAATTTTGAAAATCGTAACGATAACTGTAGACTATCGCAACGCGAAATGAAAAATTTTAACGCGATTTTTAACTATCGCAACGCGAAATGCAACACGAATTTGCGATAATGGAGATCGCATTACGATTTTGTTGGTCATTTTCGTAAATCTAAAAAATATTGATCAAAATCGTATATTATCTGAGATTTTTTATCACTGACATTATTTTCTATCATTGAGATTATTTTCTCTTTACTTATGACTAGACGGTGCCAACATCACAAAAGCGTCTAGTATTTGTCTAGTTCAAAGTACTTAACAAAAGAAACCAAAAACTACCCAAATCCCAATATAACCCCTCATTGAGTCATTTCCCTTTAAAGTTATCAGTTACAAAACCCAAAGCTTGAACCAATGGATGATCAACGTCTTCCCTTCATCATCCTCTTGATCACCGCCTCCATCACTGCCTCGCACAGTTCCGAGGCGCCGGCCACACCATGCCGCTCCAACTGTGGCTCACTTCCAATCAAGTACCCTTTCGGCACCGGCTACGGTTGTGGCTCCCCACGTTTCGAACCCTATGTAGCCTGCAACTCGAACCAGCTCCTGCTGACAACCCACACTGGCTCGTACCTAATCACCGCCATATCCTACAAAGACTCAACCGTCACGATCACTCCATCGGCCATGTCCACATGCAACTCCATGCAACAATCTCCCAACTTGGGGCTCGACTGGGCCAGCCCTTTCCAACTAGGCCCATCAATTCTCCTCCTCCTCTCATGCACTCCCCCTACGTCGTCGCTCACCATCAAGGGCTCCCCCGTTTGTGACCCTTCCTCCACCCACCTCTGCGCCACGTTCTACACTTGTCCTGCCGTCGTCAACCTCGGGATGCCGCTTTTCCCCCCGACCAACACCTGCTGCGTGTACTCGCCGGCGAATTTCAACGGCAAAGGTGAGTTGGACTTGAGGGAAATGAAATGCAAAGGGTATACGTCGATTGCTTCCTTGGAAGATTCTCCGACGGACCCTAGTAAATGGCTGTATGGGGTGACGTTGAAGTACACCGATGGAGGTTTCGATGATTATTATATGAACAACAAATGTAACACTTGTGAGGATAGCGGCGGAATCTGCGGCTATTCTCCTCCTAGTAATTCGTTCCTATGTATCTGCAACAATGGTTTCAATACCAGCACGGATTGCTACAATAACTTCAATCCGATTCAGGGGTATGAGGATGTTCTTGGAAGTTCCACATCTTTATCAACCTGTAAGTTCTTCTTTTCTTATTATTTTTCCCTTTTTATTTAGAGTATTTATTTTATTTATGATATTTATCATCCATGTGATGCATGGTAGGAAATCAACAATATTAGACGCCACAAAACTATATGATATACACAAAACACGATAATAAAAATATAGATACAAAACACCATGTGAACACATTATCTTACAATTATATAATAGGAACTTGTGATATTAAAATTTGTATAAAATAGTAAATAAAAAGATATAATACTGGGTAGATGGGGGTAGCGGATGCTTATGCGTTTTTTGGTTACAGATGCTTATGCTTTTAGAAAGTGAGTGAAACACAGTTTTGATAAGCCACTTATGTTAATTTTTGGGTGGTATATATGCCATTGGAATTTGTCTTGGCGCTTGAAGGTATAACTTCTTTTTTAGGTATACCGAAATAAAAATGAAATCAAAAGGGATACCTTATATATAAAGCTTTAGAGTTGTTTGAAAGGAAATACAAATCACTCAAAAAAATTATAATTATTTTTTGATGATTTTTTAGGGTTTTTTTAAAACTATCATGTTTGAAAAAATTATTTAAGAATTTACGTCTAATTTTAAATTATTTAAAAATATATCTTTGAAAAAATGATTTTATTTCAATAAATTCGTGTGCTAAATTTTTTGTCACTTTTGATGTGAGAAGGTATAATTGTATCACTATTGGGAAAAAATAATCACAAACTCAGAATATTGAAACAATTAAATTTATGATATGAGATGATATATATTATATATATATATATATATATATTAGTTATTTTTTTTTAAAAGTTGTAGATTTTTATATTTAAAACAAAATGAGAGAGTATTTCAAGATTTATTTTTTGAAAAAGCAGAAAGAGAAAAACCTTGATTTTATTTATTTATTGCAGGGAAGATCTGGCTGCGACTCTGGGTTGGTCTGGTTTTCTGCATTGCTGCTTGAAGAAGGCAATGACCAATGTCTGATTTCCTTTTCTTTTTTTATGCCATCTTCATTTGAATATTGTAAGCTTTACTATTAACTTCAAGAACCTTACCCCGCCTGGAAAATTTGTAATTAAAGCATAATATGTTTATTAGATAGCCAAGTACACACAATGTTCAATGTTAGAGAGTCACGATGATCGGAAACATGCACCTCAGATTAATCATTGATGAAACAATCTGAAAAGAAGAGAAGATGAACAATACAACAGTAAACAAAAGAGGAACTTAGGGTTTGAAGAAAATCAGATAATAACAACGTGAAAGGCTTTGATTTTCATTCCAAAAAGACGCAATAAGAAATCGTCCCACCAAAAATGTAAACCAATATCAAAGATTGCAGCAATGTTCTGGTGATGATCATTGCATTGATATTTTATATATGATAAAGAAATGCAAACAATTTTGATCAAAAACCATATAAATGATGTTAAGAAAAGCAAACATTTTGGATCAAGAATGCAAAGAGTTGCACGGATTAATAATCTAAAACCATCTGCAAATGTCTAGCTCTGCTCTAAAAACAACTTCCCATTGACGCCAATCCAAGCTCAAGATTCGAGAATTTATACATAAATTACAAATATTTGAAGCATGCTTAATCTGTATAATAAATTCCTTCATCTGAGTATGAATGACTTGGAAGGATCACCTGCAATCTAATCCAACAAAAATAAATGGTGATAATAAGGCAATTCCTGGATTTTTGCATACCTTTCAATCTGTTTACAGCCATTGCTATAGTTTCTGGGTTTCGAAAGAGGAAGTGAATCAATAAGGAAAGATTTGAAGTACTTAGATAACTCTTTAGTCTTCTCAAAATTGATAGCATGCCCTGCATTCTTTAGGATCACTAGTTCTGCATTGTCTCCTAGATGCCTGCGCTAGCAGCTTAACATCACTATCACACTCCAACCAAATCAAGAATCCCAAAGATAAAGGAAAACGAAATACAGTATCAGTTACCTTTTCAATCTGTGTGCCAATTCCAAGGGGAATATTTGGTCATATTCTCCCCAGAGTATTAGTGTTTGCTGCACATAAGAACAATATTTACTCATAAGAACTACTTACACTAAAGACTATGTTAACTAAAATTCCAGACAAATTGCAGTAACCTGGGTTATCTTCGGAAGATCCGACAGCTTTCTGTCCTTGTGTAATGCTTGGATCAATTCCTTTCTCTCTTGAAAATACTCTGTGCACATTTCCTGCAAATAAACTCGAATTTTGATACCAACTTAAGACGATCATATTATAAGACTGGACCTAAAGAGTACTCTGCTTCATTTGCATACATCAAAAGATACCCAGAAATATATGAACAAAACCAAGTCATTATTGGACCAAACATTTCAAAATATACCCAGAAATATAATCTAACGGCATTTATTTGTTCATATTGGGATATAGTTCGAAGAAAAAAATGATTCAAAAGAATTAGAGAAGCTTCACTTACATGGATGAAATCGTTCAGAAAACAAGTAGGAACTCCTTTAGCAGGCTTATAAAACGAAATCTTCATCAATTCCCTCATCTTGTCGGGCTTCTGGGGCAGCAAAATACTAACAGCTTCATCCACGCTCTTCACTTGAAACATCCCTTCATCCATATCTTTCTCTTCCAAACAAACCCCATCGCAACATAGCACCAACTTCTCGACTCTGTCCTTACACTGCGCCGCCATACTATAACCGACGAAGCCGCCGTAACTGATCCCGACAACGTTCATAACTGTAACCCCATGGGCCTCCATGACCAGTGTCGTAACCGGTTTTTGTCCGGGTACGAAATATTAAAATTTGGCGGGGAAATTGATATTAATAAATAAATTTGAAAATAATTTGGGAGTCGCCATCGGCCTTTTGGGTCAGGTAGGTCGAATACCTAAAAAATATTTTTTTAAAAGAGTTTTAAGAAAACGTCAATTAAAAAATGAACTGATATGCGTTTATAACCAAAAATTCGTTCTTTTTAATAATAAAAAGGGATTCGTGGTCGGTTACGTTTAGGGAAGGATTAGCACCCCTACAACGCCCAAAATTGGTACTTTTTAATTATAAATTGTCTCTATTATTAAAATTTAAAAATTCAAAAATATATTTAATTTATAATCCTATTATTTCAAAATTATATAAAAAATATTTATTTATTTAAAATATCTGAAAAGAATTTCTAGGTGCCTTAAGACAGCTCTTTTCTTTGATATTGATAAATATTAATTTTAATAATATTGTTTACTTTTTAATTTTAAAATATCAGAATAGGACATCCAGTTGTATTAAGACTGTCCTTTTTCTTCGATATTAAAAATAAATATTTAAAAAAATACTATTTATTATATTTATAAAAATATTTAATATTTAATAATATAATAAAAATACAAATATTACTAAAACAATATATTTAAAAACAATAAATAAATGAAACATATAAAATAACTAAAAAATAAAATTAAAAATCTAATTCATAATTAATCTAATTATAGGGATTAAATATGTTATTTCTTTATTTGGTGACTAAAATAAAATTATCTAAAATTTGGATATTAGAATCAAATAAATTAAAAATATAAACTAAGGATTAAAATATTATTTATTAAAATTAATGGATTAAATCTGTAATTTATCCTAATATATTATTTTAATATGAAGGACTAAAATAAATAAAATTAAAATTCGAAGACTAAATTAAAAATATTATAAATTCAATTTAGTGACTAAAATATAAATTTACAAATACGAAGGACTGCGGACGGGTTTAACTATTTCATAATTACGCGCATAGTCCTTCCCGAAACGACGTCGTTCGGGAAGGACTATAAGAGTCCAAATCGGCTGGCCCGAAGGGCCAACCATTTCATTCCTCATTTCCTTCTCTCTCTCTAAACCGAGAGAGTTTAAAAACTCTCTCGCCTCTCTCTAGCTTCCCTCACCGGAGGGAAGCCGGTCACCGGTCGGCCACCGTGTGCCGCCGTGATTATCACCGCCGGCCACCGTATCCGGTGGCCGGAAAATTGTATTTTGACACCATTAAATAGATCGGGACGTCTTAAGGACGTTTCCGGTATTCTTTTTCCTTAAGAAGCTCCCAATCGGAGCAAATCTACAAATATACCTTCGGTTTTTGTTGGTTCTGACGAGATCCGGTGGTCGAGGCTTCCTTGGTAAGTCTTCTCTTCCTTTTTTTTTTTTTTTCTGGTTTTCTTGCTGCTGAGATCGTTGGTAATAGTTTGGATTTTCTCTGTTTTTTTTTCTATGTCTCTTTCTCGTCTTCTTTTTTTTCTGTCTCTCTGTCTCGTTGTATATCTCTGTCTTCTTCTTCTTTTTTTTTCGCAGGTGGGTGGTGGCTTTTATAGCCACCACCGTGTTCGTCTCGGACCGGTCCGAAGAGGGGGCTTCGGTGAGTCACCGGACTACCAGTGGTGACTCACCCGTAGCCTTGCATGGACGGCTGGTATATGATCTCTGGAGTCTTCGGTTGGGATGTGGCAGCGGCGGAGACGGCGAGGGCTGTCGGCAGCCGCGTGGAAGCTGGAGCGGCGCCGCGTGGCCCTAGGGTATCAAACCCTAGGGTTTCCTCCTGGCATCATCTGGACCGTTGGATCTTATCAGATCCAACGGCTGTGAGCTGAGGCGGCTGATCAAATTAGGGTTAGGAAACCCTAACTGGAAACCCAAATATTTAGGGTTTCTGGTTGGATTTGGACCGTTTTAGTTGGTTTGTAACTGGGCCGGTTTAATTGTAATTGGTTTGTAATTTATATGGATTTAATATATTTAATAATAATAGTAAAAATAATAATAATAATAATAATAATAATAATAATATTAATAATGATAATAATAATATTAATAATAATAATAATAATAATAATATGGATAAAAAATAGTATCTTCAGCTGCCCCTCTTTGCCCATTCTTGTGTTAACAAGAATAGGGCAAAGATGAAAAGATAATAAAATTTTTTATCCATTTGACTTTACTTTGATCATAATTGAGATATTGAGTAAATTCTTCTCTCTCCAATAAGTTCTTCTTATTATGAACTTTCTGCTGGGGATGATGATGACCTCCTTTCTGTGATAGAGTCATTCAAAAGGTTGAATAAGCTCTTGATGAGTTCTTCTCATTATGAACTTTCTCTTCTTTCTTCAGATAATATCAAACAAAGGTTGAACAAGCTCTTCTCATTATGAACTTCTTCTTCCTTCTTCAGATGAGTTCTTTTCATTCATGAACTTTCTCTGGCAATGTTGATCCATCAAATGATGAATTTAAACAAAAAGTTGAACAAGTTCTTCTCATTATGAACTTCTTCTTCCTTCTTCAGATGAGTTCTTCTCATTATGAACCTTCTCTGGTAATGTTGATCCATCAAATGATGAATTTAAACAAAAAGTTGAACAAGTTCTTCTCATTATGAACTTCTTCTTCCTTCTTCAGATGAGTTCTTCTCATTATGAACTTTCTCTGGTAATGTTGATCCATCAAATGATGAATTTAAACAAAAAGTTGAACAAGTTCTTCTCATTATGAACTTCTTCTTCCTTCTTCAGATGAGTTCTTCTCATTATGAACTTTCTCTGGAAAAGTTGATCCATCAAATGATGAATTTAAACAAAAAGTTGAACAAGTTCTTCTCATTATGAACTTCTTCTTCCTTCTTCAGATGAGTTCTTCTCATTATGAACTTTCTCTGGAAAAGTTGATCCATCAAATGATGAATTTAAACAAAAAGTTGAACAAGCTCTTCTCATTATGAACTTCTTCTTCCTTCTTCAGATGAGTTCTTCTCATTATGAACTTTCTCTGGAAAAGTTGATCCATCAAATGATGAATTTAAACAAAAAGTTGAACAAGTTCTTCTCATTATGAACTTCTTCTTCCTTCTTCAGATGAGTTCTTCTCATTATGAACTTTCTCTGGAAAAGATGATCCACCAAATGATGGATTCAGGTAAAAGGTTGAACAAATTCTTCTCATTATGAACTTCTTCTTCCTTCTTCAGATGAGTTCTTCTCATTATGAACTTTCTCTGGAAAAGATGATCCACCAAATGATGGATTCAGGTAAAAGGTTGAACAAATTCTTCTCATTATGAACTTCTTCTTCCTTCTTCAGATGAGTTCTTCTCATTATGAACTCTACCTTGCAATGTTAATCTTTCAAATGATAGATTTGAATCTTTGCTAAAATCTTTGAAATTCCTGTTAAAAATTCAACAAGAATAAAAATGAATGAAAATGCACCTATTTTTGTAAACAACTAAAATATGATGCATGAATGTTAAGTTATTTGATTTCAGATTGGTGAACTGAGTATTTCTTCAGTTGTAGAAACACAATAGATCTTTCTTCTTCAAATCAGAGAATCTATCATCTTTGACAAATACAAATATAGATATAATGTCACAAAACCTCTTGAGAATAAAACTCAATAGTATAGGCTCTTGAAAAGCTTGCATTCAGGCAACATGTTGATTCTGATAACAATTCATCTGATTATGAAGTGACCTTTCAAGATGATTTCACAGATATCGATAGTTCTTCTAATACCAAGAAATCTTGAATTCTGATTCTGATGAAGAGAATAAACTGTTATATTTGACAAAAATGGGATTCTCAGAGGCTGAAACTTCAAATAGCCCTGGGGGGAATGTGGTCCAGATTCATCAATTGCAGAATTGACAAATTTTATATGTGCTTCTCAAATGACTAAGGCTGCTGATGCACTTCTTCTGGTAAAAAATGGGAAGTCATTATGTAATGATCCCAATTATAAGAAAAGGTGAAACTTGAGCTATGATTTTTGAGAAATGAATAAGCAAAAGAATCTTGAAAAGAAACTTCTTAATGAAGACGATCATGCAGTTCATCTTTTAATTCCAATGATTGGTTCTGTAATTTCTACCAAACCAGATTAGATAACTCAAAGAACACTTCCAGAAGATGCTATGAACATATTCATTTTCCCACTTCAATGATTGATTATGTCCAACCAGATCAGATAACTCAAAGAACACTTCCAGAAGATGCTATTGGCAAATTCATCTTCCAAATTCAATGATTGGTTCTGCCAAATCAGATCAGATAACTCAAAGAACACTTCCAGAAGATGCTATGACACATTCTTCTTCCAAATTCAATGATTGGTTCTGCCAAATCAGATCAGATAACTCAAAGAACACTTCCAGAAGATGCTATGAACATATTCATTTTCCCACTTCAATGATTGGTTCTGCCAAATCAGATCAGATAACTCAAAGAACACTTCCAGAAGATGCTATGAACATATTCATTTTCCCACTTCAATGATTGATTATGTCCAACCAGATCAGATAACTCAAATAACACTTCCAGAAGATGCTATGAACATATTCATTTGTTCTATTTAATGTTTTGACTGGGATATCACAGTAATTATTCGATGTAGAGCCAGAATTTGTAGATTTGAAGCATTTCCATGCTATTACACTGAAAAGGGCTATATAATTCTGCCAATTAAAAACAAAGTTTCTCTTATTATGCTTCATCCATGTGCTGATGCTTTTCCATTGACAAAGAAATGATGGCTTTCTTGGAATCCTAGAACAAAGTTGAACTGTTTATAAACATGTACATGAAGTGCCAAATTGACAGAAAGGATCTGTAAGGCTTTTGAAGCTTATGACAATGAGCCACCTTCGAGTGTCCAGAAGTATGTTCTTGATGAGTGCTGAAAATGGAATCTAGTATGGGTTGGAAGGAATAAAGTT